CTGTAATCATTCGGAACTCATATTAGAAACTGCAAGTGGAAACATATATCGAAAAGTGCCAGTGAAAAGTTACGGGCTGCCTGTGGACCGGATACATCCTACGCACATAAGTGAACTCGCTGAACATTGACAAAGCCAAATGGCAATACCAGCCGACGATGGAAATCGAGAGAGAGAGAGAGAGAGAGAGAGAGAGAGAGAGAGACAGAGAGAGAGAGAGTCCCCACGTAGCTGAACTCGCTGAACTGTTGACGAGGCCAAATGACAACAAAATTCTGAAGTATGCACGACAGAAGTTCAACCTCACAGGCCGTTGCTGAATTATGGAAAAAACTACATATCCTTAACTAGTCACAACACATATCCAATCGTATGGAACAGATGATAGACGCCAGTTTGCATATAATAGCTGGTATATGAACGTTCGAAAAACGAAAAGGCGGACGTAGTCCCCTAGCTAGATAGGAAGCAAACATCAACATGAAAACCGCACAACTGGATCCGTCATCTTGCCTTGGCACACCTTTCACAAGAACTTCGAATCTCATGTCATCATACTTTTGGGGCAACGCTCTTATCATTGCCTCTTCATTCAGGTACTGCAATACCGCTCTACAAGCAGTCGAAGCAAATGAAGCGTCGCACACTGCACTATAGTATGAATCAACGTAGTGTACAACTCTCTTACTAAAATCTACAGTAAGAAGAGCCCAGTATTCGTTGTTCTTGTGAATAAGGACCAGCAACACGTCATATTCGAAAAGATTGACATCTTTCATTCATCTTGTCACCCCTTTACAACCCTGAAGTAGCAATTTCGTAAAAAAGAATGAAACAAAGCTGTTCACTTTCGAAGAAGATGTACGAGTATCCCTAACTTGCAGGGCCAAGTAAAATTTCACGACCTCGTCGTTCAGCTCGCCGCCTCTGTCCAACAAGCTGTCTATGTCTCGGACCCTAACAACCAAGTTCTCCACTGGTAGGCGAGCCACAATCAGCGCCTCAGATAGGCGAGAATGTACGAGGTTGTCTAACAAGTTCGACAACTCTCCCTCACTTCTTCCAACGCTCGGTGCGCTCATGTCTGCTGCAAAGACCAACCAATCAACACGCATGACCATGAGATGAATGATACCCTAACTGTCCAAGCTGCCCTTTTCTTTGCTTTTAGCACTAAAAGTATTGTAAATCTGAACCCCTCTTCTCGTCGTTCTTTGAAAGTACGGCTCAGGTCCAGAAACTGGAGAAACAGTGAACTTCTTACAAACTCTCATATGCAACTTTTTAACTCTCTCAGCACTCACACCAGCCGCTTTCACAATTTTCATATCTCTTGAGGACAATTGCAGCATACTCGTCTTCGTGAGATGTTCCTTCGACTTTCTCCGTACAGCACACGAAGGAGACGACCGACCTGTACAACAGATGAAGAAACATAATTATGAATATCGCGTATGGCCGTGCTTCGCAAACCAAGGGGCAACGAGCAATTACCCTCATGCTGCACATATCCGTAAGCCCTATATACATGTGAAAGAACCCTCCAGATGTTCAGCATTAGAGAGACCCCAAGTTAAGCAATGAAAGTCTCTGCTTACCGGTCATAGCTTCTTCTCGAGCATGTCCACCATCATGGTCCTCGTCGTCTTGAACTTTTGGCACCTCCTCGTGTGCGCAGCTGGCTTTCAGACCTAGCACTACCCCTTCTCCTTTGATCTTCCCCGATGCAACAACGAGGTCCAGACGGGTTGGGAACTTGGACAAGTCGTCGAGGTCAGCGTCCACGATTCGAACGACCTCTTCAGCAGAGGGACTAAGAGAATCGACACGTCGTTGTCTAACATCCTCATCGAGAGACAGTTCCACCAGAGTTGTCCCACCACCCTCAGTCTTGCCTGGATAGGATTCTACCACAGCTGTTGTGGCAGCAAGGTCTTCATCATCGTGGAAAAGCTTTCGGGCAATGTCATCACTCAGCGGATGACAAACACCTCCCCCTTCCTATTTCGATATCGTGACGTTTTTCTCCTCCGCGCACGGACCTGACACTAGTATTGCTGCATGTGAGGGTTGCATGTCAAGTGCCTGGGTTGAGTCGCCACGAACGAATTGTCAGCCAAAAATGGTCTTGTGTCAATTCCCGAATACAGCTGCAAAAGAAAGTCGTCCTCCGTACCACCGCATCTCACGTCAGGAGGAGGATTCGCCTGCATTTCCACAGTCTCGTCTATGACGTCCTTATCCTCCGAAAAATATGTTGACTCGGAGCCAGTGGACTTGCTCTGTTGGTCCTTTGTAATCTCCGCCCGTGGAGGACTCAGATTCCATGCCAAACTTTTCTGGACAGGGGTTAGCAATCCCGATGCTCCTCTGTCATGGCTTGCTGCATGGACAACATATTTTCCACTGAAGCGAAGGCTCTGAACATCCGGGACACTTACGGGCAAGCTTCTTGCTTGCGTTTCTCCTGCCTCACTTGGTGTGAGGAAGACAGGTCCTCCACCGGCACCAAGGGTCCGGCTTGTCGAGACACTCATGGGAAGGCCTCCTACTTGGGTCTCTCCAGCTTGACGTGTTGTGGGGAGGATGGATCCGCCACAGGCCGAAAGGCATTGAACTCCCGGGACACTTGCGGGCAGGCTTTCTATGGGTGGCAGGCTCTGGACTCCCGAAACACTACCAGGCAGGCTTCCTGCTTGCGTTTTTGCAGCTTGACTAGGTGTGTGAGGGCTTCCTACTGGCTCTTCCCCAACCTGACTTCCTACGACTATTGTCGCAGCCTGACTTTTTGCCCGGACGCCAGAGGGTTGTGCACCGTCCGGACACTCTCCGGAATGTTCCCTTATTGCGGAGAGTCTGGAATGTTCCCTTCTTGCGCCTCCCCAGCCCGACTTGTTGTGAGGAGGATAGATCCGCCACAGGCTTCGGACACTTGAACTCCCGGGACACTCTGCACTACTAGGACACTTGCAGGTAGGCTTCCTGCTTGCGTTTGCCGAGTTCGACTTGGCGTGTGGAGGATAGATCCTCCACCGACAGAAAGGTCGTGGCTTCTCGAGACACTTGGGGGAAGGAATCCTGCGTTGGTCTCTCCTGCCTGGCGTGTTGTGGGGAGGATTGATCCTCCACTGGCGGATAGGGTATTCACTCGAGGGGCGTTGGCGCAAGAGCTCACTAACGGCATGTCTCCGGCGTCGATGTCCGACATATATTCAGACTCCACAGACTTTATGGATCCAACCTCCCCTTCCAATTCTGCACTGAAATTAGATCCCGCTGAGACTGTACCTGGGACAGACCTAACACCATGCAGTTTGGAAACTTCGGCCCCGATTGTGGGGCGGATACATCCTCCACTGAACAATCGGGCATCGGTGGGTTCAGCAAGTCCAGAATCCGCGCTGGTCTGCGAGGTAGCCCCTTTTACCGTTCGACGGGCACCCATTCCAAGCGGGATTGTTCCTCAAGAGCTTCGTTGATATCCACTTTGCCCACCCGATCCTGCACCGTCGCGGGCCCCCGCTAATCCCCTGCCCTGGTTATCTCCGCCACCACTGCCGGTTCCACCCCCTCCACCACTGCGGGTTCCACCCCCTCC